TGCCCCAAGAGTGGTAGCTTTTGAAGGTACAAACTGATACTATTCTAGATGGCCATGTCAGGTGAAAAGACCAGATCAGAACACAGTTCTCTCCAAAACTGATGTGGAAATCACACCAGAACAAGGCCAACCATGCTTTCTTCTAATGAAGCCAACTCAGGCCTCCCTGTACAGAGGGCCACAAGTCTATCCTTCTACCACCCTGGATCAGACAAAGTGCTCCCACACAGTAGCATCACTGGTAATGCCTACAGAGCATCCTCACACCTGAGCAGTGCTGTCCTACAGGATTGTCATGAGACACACAGATCTAATTTAAGATTTTCTGGTAGCACTTAAAAAAAGGGAAAAAGAAACTGATGAAATCAACTTTAATATCATATTTTATCTAATTCAATATCTCCCAAACACTATCATTTGGTATCTAACCAATACTTAAAACATTACTAGTGAGACATTTTACTTTTTTTTTTTTTTGCATGCTAACTTTTCAAAATCAGGTATTTAGAGGTGCCTGGGGGGCTCAGTCAGTTAAGCATCGGACTTCGGCTCAGGGCATGATCTGGCAGTTCACAAGTTCGAGCCCAGTGTCGGGCTCTGTGTTGACAGCTCAGAGCCTGGAGCCTGCTTCAGATTCTGTGTCTTCCTCTCTCCCTGACCACCCCGCCCCCACTTGCCTCTATCTATTTGTCTCAAAAATAAACTATAAAAAAATTCAAAATCAGATATTTTACAGCTGTGGCACATCTCAATTCAACCTGTCACACTTCAGATACTTAACAGCAAACTAGGGCTAATGATTACCATATCAAACACCATGGATCTAGAATGTTGTACATGAAAAGTGCAATTTACAGTTGTAATTTTAATTTACAATTACATTTAAATGTAATTTAATTTACAGGATAAATGAAAGGCTCAAAAAGTTTTTCATTGAGCCATTTATTCTCCCAATACCCCAATAAAGTAACTAAAAGATATTAGCTCCATGGAGAGCAAATAAAGTCTTCTGATGAAAAGGAAGCTGACTCATTTATCCCAAATTAAACCATGAAAAGACTTGGAAAACATTTCTGGTCATCTTGAAGCCCAGAACTTTCTACAAAAGACCAAACCTTCTACATCTGTGCATTTATAAAACAACATAGAACCTATCAGGCTCCTCTCGTTAAAAACTAATATAACGCTGTATGTTAACGACACTGGAATTAAAATAAAAAACATGGCAAATTTACAAATCTCCTTTATTTCAAAGTAATACCTAGATTCTTCAGCTATGTAATCCCATCCATTCTTTTTTAATTTTTTAAGTTTATTTATTTGTTTTGAAAGAGAGTGCGCATGCAGGACAGGGAGAGAATTTCAAACCAAGCTCCTCACTGTCAGCGCAGAGCATGACACAGGGCTTGAACCCACAAATCATAAGATCCTGACCTGAGCCAAAGTCAAGAGTCAGAGGCTTAACAGACTGAGCCACCCAGGTGTCCCTAACCCCATCCATTCTTTTTCAGATAACTAGTAATTTCATCTCCTCTCCCAGTAGTTTACTCCAACTCTTCTTTTCTATTGTGTCAAAAGCCAAACCAAACAGTTCATGCTTCAACTCTACAGCTGCAAATTGTAGGAGAAGAGTTCTGAACAACACTGCAATAAGGGTCTTTGATATAGTAAAAAAAATCACCAGACTCAATATAAAATATTCACTCAATATTGACTTCTAATTTCATAGTAACCAGGAAAATTTCTAAAATGGAAAAAAATCAAAGAATAAATCACCATTTTCTAAAATAATAAGACTGTAAATTGAACTTCATCTATTAAAAAGTCTCAGGGGTGTCTGGATGGCTCAGTCAGTAGAGCATCCAACTTCAGCTCAGGTCATGATCTCGTGGTTCAAGAATTCGAGCCCTGCATTGGGCTCTGTGCTGACAGCCTGGAGACTGCTTCAAATTTTGTGTCTCCTTCTCTCTCTGCCTCTCCCCGACTCATACTCTGTCTCTCTCAAAGATAAATAAAAACATTAAAAATTTTTTTAGTAAAATAAGAAGACTCAAAATCTTTAAAAAATAAAAAAAGACAATCCACAGAGTCAATTTGTATAGAAAAATGACTACAGGTCTGAGCAGACTTGGAGTTCAACAAGTCTAGGTTTAAACCCTAACCCAACCACTATGTGCCTTGAGTAAACTCTTTAACCCTTTTAAATATCTATCATCATATTTAATAAACATTACCCCTAATACAGTTATCACAAAGATTACATAAAATAAAACATTGTAATTAGCACAGTTTTTGGTTACTAACAAATATTAGCTAACTCCCTGTCCCCAACCCCATTCATTTCTTCAATTTGCATAAGCAGAAAATACTAATCTGAATTTATAGCTCTGACATCAATAAATAGAAACCCTATGACCCCCAGTTTTCTTTTTATTCTTCTCAGAATGAGGAGACGGCTGGGATGGTGATCAGCTCGGTTGTATGGTACTGAGAACAAAGGTTTGTGAGGAGCTCTAGCAGGTGGTGTCCTCAACAACAGTTCAGTCACCCCATAACTGGGTATCTCCCTCACCTCCAGCCTTTAATAACGCCAATATGAATGTGGTGAGGATTATCACCAATGAATGTACGGGGTAGTAAGGGAACCCGGAGAACATCTATCTCAACCTGGAGGGAGGTCACGAAAAGTTCCTTGAAGGAGGCAGCCACCTGACCTGAACCAGGCGGGCAAAACCAGTGAGGACTACAGAGAAAGGAGTGGAGAAGGGAAATGTGTAGAAAAGGAACAGTGTGCGTGAAGACACAGGGTGTGGTAGACACGGGAGAATGGGGAGCAGTTCTTGTTGCTGGGATATGAAGTGCTGCTGGGTGCATGAGAGCACTGGAGCAGCGAACAGGGCTGCGGCCAGGAGGGGATTCCTATAACAGAGGAAGGACCCTGGACCTGACCCTGTCTGTGATGGGGACAGCAAACAATAAGGCTGCCACTAGAAATCAAAGAATCGGCATGAGTGAAAAAGAGGAAGGAAACCTATGGTGGGAAACCGAAGCCTGAGAGGCACTTTAAACGAAAGCAGATGAAAAGAAATAAATACTGCCATGTTGAACTTATCAGCATTTCTGCCATCCTTTCTAAAAAAAAAAAAAATGCAAACACACATGGAGAAAGAAACACCCTATAAGGACGTTCATATAAAGAGGTACTTCTTAAAAACCCTGGGGTATGAAATTTTGATAAAATATCATTTCACTGGCAGAATTTCCCCAAGATTGCACCTTCTTAATTAATATCAAAGCAGAAAACTGAGTATAGTATCAAAGAAAAATCAGCAATGAAATCACCATATCATTTAATCTTCATTGGCATCAGAAGCCTTAGTACCTAATACAACAAAGAGCCACCCTCCCACAGGACAAGGAAAAATTAGAATGGGGTCAAGATCCTAACAAGCATCTCATCCTGTCCAATACCACTCTAAGAATCATTAAAAAGAGAAAAATTTTAATCTTTCCAATTACTGTCCTGTAATGAGCTTCACAGTAATTTTTTTGAATTGAAAAAAATGGCCCCTGGAAAAAATCTATCAGAGAAACGGCAAACCGTAACAAAAAGAGAGAATATGACAGAAAGAGCAGAGGGGAAGAGGGAGGTCCTAGGATCAAGACACCAAGAAGAAATTCTAGGGGAAGTCCAATACTAGGGAAACCCAGTAGAAAAGTATTAACAAGAACAGTATGGGGATTAAAACCAGTAATGTGTGCCCTTCCAGGAAATCATGTTATTAAACTTTTAAAACCTTTTAATCTTTTTCTATTCATAGTGTACAGCTCTAAAGAGTACTCTAAATAATTAACTGCTACAGTTAAGGGAACACAATTTGGAGACTCTAAAGAACACCAGGTAGTGTAGGCGCCAATCCAACATTAAGACTTCTTTGCTGGGCAGAATCCCTCCCTGGTGCTGGACTTTCTTCCTTAAAGCATTAGCTTATTCTTGGGTTTCCACATTAAATCATCAAGTTCTTTCAAAAAGGCTCAGTTCTTAGTCACTTAATCAGCTCTTAATTGTTTCCACTTTCAGTTAGATAAACAGATGTAAACAGAAATTAGAACCAAATATGTCTGCATAAAATCACTTAACTTTCAAAAATAAGTGGAAAATCTGCCTGAGACAACATCAGACACTTTCAAGAGCCTGTAAAATTAAGCAAAACTACTCTTCTAATGTCAGAGGCTGAAAAATCTATCATATGTGCAAAAAAGGATACAAAAAAGGAAAAAAAATTAGAAATGGAGATGGGTGTCATAAAAATAATGACATCAAGAGTACCTGCTCAACCCTCTGCTAGGACCTGACAATACGATGAGATCGATTTCTGTCCATGAATAAGCTCTGAACTCTTGTAGTGTGTATAACTTATTTTCACTTTTTCGTTGGAAGAAGGAAGAGTATTTCCATAGCCTTTTCATACAATTATGATTATTCTTTGATACCACACCAAAACTTAACAAGCTGTAGGTTTTTTCCCAGCTTTACTGAGATACATTTGACATATAACATTGTATAAGTTTAAAGTATACAATGTGATGATCTATGTGTGAGTTAACACATCCATCATTTCAGATGGTAACCATATGTTCGTAAGTGTGGTAAGAACACATATTTTCATAGTTAATTACGTTCTTTTCCTCTCAAATACTTCGTAAGTATCTGCTATGTTCCAGGCAGTGTGCTGCTCTTCCCAGACCTCAGAGTCTGTCAGTCATGCTCTTCTCTCATACCTGCCATAGCACCGTTAGCATGGTGCTGACTTCAGAGCAGCTGCCCAATAAATATCTGTAAAAAGACTGGTCTTGAAATGAACATAATAGGAGAATATACGGGGTTAGCACTATCCCCAGTGATGGAGCACAGAGACCCTTGTGCTCACTTCAGTACCAGCCCACCTCTGGTTATCAATCCACACCCCCTTCTGACTGAGTCACCACAGTGTGCATACCTGTCCACTGAGGCGGGCAGCGGCAGTTGTAGGTGTTAACCCCATCCACACAAACCCCTCCATTCTGACACTTGTGGTTAGGGCAGTCATCAATATTCCGCTCGCAGGTGATCCCTTCAAAACCTGGTTAGAGAAGAACAAGAGAAAATAATGAATTCTCATGCAGAAGCGATCAGCTCTTCCACAGAACACAGTCATCAGAACAGACTTACTTCATTATTTCAGTTCAGTAGCCAGCAGCTGGTCAGCTATGTATCTGCTCACCACAGGACTCACCAAACAAAAAATACCCCAACCTTCTGTCTTCTCTTACCTCAAGAACAGCTAGACAATTAAAGTGACTCATTATGCCAATGACATGGCTTCACAGTTATCTCACAAGTATTTCAATGTAATTTTATGAAATAAAATCCCAGTGAAAATAAATGTCTATTTGGACAACCATTCACCGGTTCTTAAAAAAAAAAAAAGGCGGGCCAGGAGGAGTAGATTTTCCCCCACTCCATGCTAGGTTAATGGGCAGAACAGATAAAAGATCACTTAATTAAATTTAAATTCATTTACTTTTTTCTTGGGGTGTTTGCTTATTAGGAAAACTGGGTGGGGGTGAAGAACATAAGAAAAATACTGAGCTCACAGTCTGAAGATATGGGTCAAGTTCCAATCTTGCTACCTCCAAGCCATTTAACACATGGTAAATTACAAACTCTGAATTTGCTTCCTCATCTGTAAAAATGAGGCTGATTCTACACATACAACCTGCTTTCCTGGGTTGTTACACGTACCATATCATGAGTACATTATAAATCTAAAACGCTATCTGAAAATGGGATGGCATTATTACTAATTAAACTTACCAGCCTTTCAAATCCTTCATCCTGCTTTCCACAGTTATAGCACTATCTCCTTTCTCTTGATTTTTTCCTTTTACGAAAAGTGAAACCAGCACACCAAACTTCATCCTAACTGCCCACAATGTGTTTCTGTAATTACATATTCAGCTTTTTCCTTTCTTTCTCCTTGATGCCAAATCCCTTAGCTATTAAAATAGAAGACTACCAGCTTTAAAACTGAATGTTCAACTGGACAGTCTCCTGTTTGAAATACAATATGACTAACTATTTGGCCTCTTTGAAATGTCCCTTAAGGTTCCTCTTCTTCACTCAAAACACTTATTGGGTCTTAAACTAGGCACTGGGGATATAACTATGAGTAAAAGAGACAGACTGTCCCTGCTTCTGGGTTATTTACAGCCTCGTGAGTGGGACACATATCTGAATAAAGTGGCAATTGTCAATGGGTATAAATCAAGTGGCAAAAAATGTTTTTTACTCAGAGACCAAAAGAAATTACTTCATAGAAGTTGGGGATAATTGAAAGTTTGACTAAAGAGAGTTCTATTTCTCCAAGCATTTGGTACTCAGTCCATTCTAGTAGAATGGTAATCACTAAGTAAGCTTGAGAAAGACTATGAAAATTTTTATAGACTCCAATTTTTAAAAATTTATCATATTACTCACATCTGTTTAATCAAATTAATGTCTTACAAATGAACTAAAACAATGCTGATTTAAGCCTAATTAAGATAAAGTGAGGGCAAATCTGCAGATCCACTAAGTAGCAGTGTCTGAACAAGAACCGAGGTCTTTGCTCCTACTCTAGTGCTCTTAACGGAAACATTTAGAAAAGTTAAAGATGCAGCTTTAGAGTGTGGGAGGGAAATAGGGCTCCTGGCCTACCACTGTTAGAACCTGTGCGGTTCCGTGGTATTCTAGAACTGGTAATGGTTATCCTCCCTCTAGCTTGACCTCTCTGGTGACTAAGACTAACATGGTTGACTGCAGTGTCAGAGAGGTGATAAAGCCCTTGTAGTCAAACTATTAGGAATTGAAACTGTGACCCTGAATTTATATTAGCCAGTGCTACAACTAACTGAATTCACCAACCACAGACTAAGAAAGCAGAAGCATTTCAGCAAACCACAACATACAAGAAATAAAATATTTTCAGACTATTTTCAAGGTAGTTCCTCCCTGTCAAAGGTAAGTAGGTAAGAAGGCAGGTTGATGAGAGTTAATTCATAATTAGAGCATGGTCCCTGGGCCAAACTGCCTAGATTCAACTTTCAGCCTTTCCATGCAATAGGTGAGTGAACATGGGTAAGATACTTGAACTTTCTTTCCTCCCTGGGGGAATTAACAGGACCTACCTCCAAGGGTTACTACAAAGAGTAAACAAGTTAGATATATATTACATTTAATTCAGTAAATGGTGCTGGGACAACAATATCTACAGGCAAAAGAATAAATTGGACCCCTTTCCCACACCAACTCAAACTCTTAAGAGTTAAAGCTGTAAGATTCTCAGATGAAAACATAGGAGTGAATCTCTGTAACTCAGGCTAGGCAAAGCTTTCTTAAACATGACTAAAAGTGCAAACAACAAAAGAAAAAACAGAAAGCTTGGAGTTCACCAAAATTAAAAACATTTGGCCTTTAACAGTTACCATCAAGAAAGTGAAGACAGACCACAGAATAAGAGAAAATATTTGTGAATCATGTATCTGATAAGACACTTATATCCAGGGTATATAAAGAACTCTTATAGCAATAATAAAAAGATAATACAAATAATATAATAATAAAAAGGCAAATAATCCATTATAGAATGGGTAAAGGACCTAAACAGATATTTCTCTGATATGATATACATTAGCCATCACAGAAATGCCAATCAAAACCACAGTGAGATATCATTTCACACCAACTAGGATGGCTGTAATAAAAAAGACAGACAATAATAAGTGTTACTGACAGACAGTAACAACCTCTTTTACTGCTGGTTGGAATGGAAAATAGTGCAGCGACTTTGGAATAGTCTGGCAGTTTCGGAAAAGGTTAAACAGAGGTACCATATTGCCCAGCAAGCCCTCTCTTAAGTATAAACCCAAGAGAAATAAAAGTGTATGTCCACAAAAAAGTGTACAAGAATGTTCACAGTGGCATTTTTCATAATAGTTAAAAAAGCAGAAGCTACCCAAATGTCAATCAACTGATGAACAGATAAATAAAATGTAGTGAGCCCTGAGTAATCTATAGAATTGTTGAATCAATGTTTTACACCTGAAACTAATACAACATTGTACTAATTATACTTCAATTTTTAAAAAGTGGGAAACACTGTGGAAAATCTGTACAATGGAAAATTTTTCACCATGAATGGAATGAAGTACTGATACCTCCTGTAACATGAGTGAACTCTGAAAGTTTCATGAAAACATGAGGTGAAAGAAGCCAAGCACACAATTATCACATATGAAATGTCTACAAGAGACAAATGATAGAGACAAAGTAGATTAATAATTGCCTGGTGCTGGGGGAGAATTAGGGGCCAATGTAATGTTGAGTGCTGACGGTACAGGGTTTCCTTTGGAGTGATAAAGATGTTCTAAACTTGTGGTGATGGCTACACATCTGTGAATACACTGAAAACCACTCAACCGTACACTGTAAGTAAGCTATAGGGTATACAAATTACATCTCAATAAAGCTATTATATTAGGAGGGAAAGCACTTCAAACAGTGCTTGATGTATAAGTGACTGACATATTAATACTATTATATATGAATAGAATCAAAGCACTCCTTAGAACTGATCTACTCTAATCCTCTTAGGTTACAGATGAAGAAGCTGAGCACCACATGGCAGACTTATCCAAGTTTACACGGCCAACAGGTACAAGTCAGTACTGAACCAGTGTTAATCAGTATTCTGCCTGGGACCCCAGCGTTCCCTTACAAAAATGTGAAAAACTGACCTAAGGTTAAAAGTTCCCATGTCTGAGAAAACTCAAGCCAAATTCGTTCTCCTTTAGAGTTAAGACAGGATTTATGCTTTAAAAATAGAGATGCAGACCTCATTTGGGAAACAGCTAGCAAATTCCTGTAAGAAACTCTACCCAAGGAGGGTAAGGCTTATATGAATAAGTTACAGTACAATCACTTCTTAAAAATATATTTTAAGGTTTTAAGGGAAAGGGAAACAGACAAGTCTCCAGACCTGTGGGTGGGATGGGTGTAACAGACTTACAAAGAGGCTCACATGACCATACTAAAAGGAGTCTACTGCTTAAAGCCAATTCACATCCTTAAAAGGCCAAAAGGAGAGAAATTAAACTTAGAAGGAACATTTTAAGACTGTGCTGTTATGAAACCATAGCCCCCATAACTGATAAATGGTGACAGTGAGGGTGGGGAGCAGAAAAGAATCTTTTGAACTTGTCATCCCACACAGAGAACAGTATCTGTCAAGAAAACATCCATATCTTTCCCTTTTCAGACCCTGGGACGTGTGAGGGTGGAAAGGCTTGTGGAGAGCAGGAAGAAGAGGAGATGACAAACCTAGCATTCTCTCAGACCAGGCTAAAAGTCCTCAAGGGCAGCTTTAGTCCACAGAGATGAGTGAGGAAAAAACCAGGAATATGTAAACCTGGACAAAGGCAATAACGGCTAAAGCGCTACTTTCTCCCCCACACCCCCAAGAAGAAATCTGTCACAAAGGCAAACTGGTCCCATCTCTGTCCAATTGGTTTTCCTGGCACATACCTTCCATTCTCCGAATGGCCCCAGGTGAGCTTGCTGACCCTCATGACCATCCTCAGCCCCACCGCCCACCCAGGCTGCTGCTCCAACATGCCCCCCTTGGTATCTCACTAATGATCTCCACTCTGCTAACTTCATCACCAAAAAAGTCAGATAAATTAATAAGGTGATTCAAGAGAAATATATTCAGTATATAGATCTAATTTTTTAAAAATTCTGGAATACAAGAATTCTCTTTTCTTTCACATTCAATTCAGTCATTTGTGAAATATTCACTGGGTCTCAATTTTGTGCTAGGCACAAATAAGTTGGGTACTGGGAAGAAGAGTTAAAATGAGAGTGTCTACTGGGAAAGAGGAACAATTAATCTGTGCTATACTACAGGTATACGGGTTGCCAAAAGACCTTAGGGAGGTCTTTAATCCCTGTGGGGACTGGGAACATAGAAAGCATTTCAATGAAACTGGTGCCTTTGACACATCATAAAGATATGTTCTATATAAAAAGGTGGGGTGGGCAGGGGGAAGAAGGTGATAGAAAGCTGAGGAGATAGTATGGTCCAAACTACTGAGCACAGGAGAATAGGAAAGACTTCCAGGAACATCAACTAAAACTGGAACTAAAATAATTCGCCCTGGAAAGTGGTATGATCATTTCTGCATCTGCTCCAGAGAAACCTGCCAAAATATGATTAGTATAATACCCAAGAGAAAGTCACATGCCCCTGCATATGAAAATGCAAGAGGGAATTAGTTCTAACAGTTTTTAAGCTTCTCAAGAACAGAGCAAGACCCAAAACCCACAAAATGTGCTTAAGCTTTATTTTAATGATATAGGGGTATCACAAATAATCAGCCTGTGAAGTAGTTTATAAAGAATAAGCCTCTGTTGTTTGGAGTGGACAGGTCAGACAGCTCTTTATGAAATTTTAAAAAATCATAGAGGAATAGACAGGTGTGGGAGAGAGAAAAAGGGAAAGTACATTGAGGACGGGCCAATCCAACTGTGAACTCACAAGGCACAGCCAAGAGATTCAAACAACCCACTGTGCTACTTCCCAAAACCAGCCTAACTCATTCTTTCCCCACTAATTGGTCCTAACTCAAAATATTGGGACTCAGTGATTTAATCATTTATTTTCTTTTGTTCTTATGTGAAAATTATTCTGACTAAAATGCCCCTCCTCAGGGCTTCTGCTAAAGACTTACTTAATGGTAGCCCATGAAGGATCTGGATTATTAACTGTTGATCATCCAAGGAAAAAGCGAAACATGGTTTCTTGGTTTGATTCTATTAGTTCCCTCTTGAATGTATTCCTTTTTTCTTCCCTCTGTGGAGACCCACTTCTTCCTCGGTCACATAACAGGAGTTGTTTTTGCAGTTTTAATTCCCTCTCCGTGAGTCTTACAATAATACTAAAATACTAAACTCATATTCCTCAACCATAAAAAGGAATTAAATCTTGCTATTTGTGACAATATGGATGGACCGAGACAGTAGTATGTGCTAAGTAAAATAAGTCAGACAGAGAATGACCAAAACCTTATCATTTCACTTATATGTGGAACCTAAAAAACAAAATAAACAGACTCTTCAATACAGAAAACAAACTGGTAGTTTGCGAAAAGAAAGTGGGGGTGGAGGGTGGGCAAAGTAGGTGAAAGGGATGAAGAGGTACAAACTTCCAGTAATAAAATAAATAAGGTCGTGGAGATGAAAAGCACAGGGAATATAGCTTGTAATATCGTCACAATGTTGTGTGGTGCCAGATGGTGGCCACTTTTACCATGGTGAGTACTGTGTAATGTATAAAATTGTCAAATCACTACGGTGTACACCTGAAACTAATACAATATTGTATGTCAACTACGCTTCAATAATAAAAACATAAAAATCAACTCACAGAAACTATAGCATCCTTTGCAGGAAAAGAACTATAACTTGACCATTTGAACATAATCACTAACGTGGCTCACTGACTCTCAGAGTTGAAAAGGACTCTAAAATTCTTCTTATCCAAGATCATAGTACGCAAGAACAAAAGGAGAATATGATACCAGGAAGAAAATGAGAAGACCAAAATTACATTCTCAATACTATATTTTTGTTGAATGTTTCCTTCGATGAAAGGAGGTAGGTGCGGGATGGGCTAAATGGGTGATGGGTACTAAGAAGGGCACTTGTTGTGATGAGCACTGGGTGTCATGTGTTAGTGACGAATCACTAAGCTCTACTCTTGAAACCAGTAGTACACTATATGTTAACTAACAAATTTAAATAAAAACCTGAAACAACCACAACAAAAAATACTGTGATATTATACTAAAACTCAGTTGGTCAATAAATATTTGAATGCCTGTTATGAACCTGGCGCTGTTTTGGGATGCTTGGGACACATCACTAAACAAAAACAAAGATCCTAGCTTTTACTCTGAAGAGAGGAAGAAGCAGCAGAATCTAGAGAAGACAGACAATAAACAATAGACATAATGAGGTAAATTATATAGTGCAAATTATATACTAAGCAGATGATAAGTGTTATAGAAAAAGAAAAGAAAAAGTAGACCAGGGCCAATAATTAAGGGGATACGGGCTGGTTACTATCTGAAATAGGGTGATCAGGGTAGGCCTCAATTAAAAGTGCAAGGACTTGAAATGCGGCAGGCAGCACACACAGGACCTGCAAAATACCTTACCCTCTTGCTGACTTGATTTCTCCATTTTTAGAACTGAAATAATGATTCTCCTCAAATAAGGGTGTGATTTACGTTGAGGTAGTGATTATTATTTTAAGTAACATTTTAAGTCTCTTGAATAGTGTGGAGCATAATAGAAGGTGGGGCAAGGAGAATGATACTGTATCACAGAAAGGATGTTCTAAGAAAAAATAATCTTCAGACACGATTTCCCTGTATGGGGAAATATGGTTAATACTTCCCAAACTCTACCTGGAGCATAAAAACAGTTGAGCATAAAATCTCACAAATTGTGTAAATACATACTTATTTACAGTGTTACTGCATCATCTATTGTTTTGAATTATTTTTAAATTTCTTTTTATACATTGTCTAAGTGAATGTTATCTGTTTTAGATCATGGGACCTCGAAAGGCAAGAATCGACCTACTTAACTATTTTAAATGTCTGCACGGTGCCAGACACAGGTTGAAATAAACAGCATTTGATCATGATTAGAAGTACTTCCTACTTTTTTTTTTTAACCCAGACATCTCAAAGCATTTAACAGTTTCCAACATTTTCAAAGCACCTTCCGGGATAGCCCAGCAGGGTAATGTGATTCCGTCAGATGCCGAGGCTTTGGAAAGAACCTGTCTGGGTGTTAGGACTCAGCCGGACCACATGTCAGCTGTGCAACTTGGGGTAAACCATCTACCAACTTGAGCTATTTCACCTGAGAAAACTAGAAAAGTAATACCTATCCCCAGGGTTTTTGTGTAATTGAGCTAATGGATGCAGAAGTACCTGGCACAGTGCCTAAGTCCTAAAAGGCATTGAATAAATGTTAGTTTTCTCTTTGCCAACTTTCCTCCCCACCCCCTGCATCCTCATCCCAAACTCCAACACACACACACACACACACACACACACACTTCATCAGTGAGTAAACAAACGTCTTGCTTTAAATTACAAGCAGAGCACAGAGGACAGCCAAGATCTCTTCACTCCATCCCACGAGCCCTGGCAGGCTCTCAGCTGTGGAATCCCTGGTTATTTCCTTTCTCAAGGAGGAGATACTATTCTGGTTTGACAGATCCTTTCCTGGACACACTCTCAGAATTCCCTAAGGTTCTTATCATGGCTAATGGATAACAATGCAGAGACTATGGGAGTGAATAATCACTCTCTCCTAGCTAAAAACTTCCTTTATTGACTTCTCTAACTTCCCGTCAGTATTTTGCTGCCAAATCAACCTTTTGTTCTGGGCAACCATTAAAAGTAATTTTCTTGAAACTGAAAAAACATTCAGCCTTCAACAATAAATTGTGCTCACCTCAATTATTAGCCATTTGGATGATTTATTAGAATATGTATAAAATGAAATTGTTTACATTTCTCTTTCCTTCTTTAACCCTTAAAATAGAGCCAACAAACAGGGGAATGAAGAAAGATATCTTTGAGTTATTTCTTCTACAAGATAAGCTGGATGACAGTAATACTCTTATCAGTAAAATTTATTTAGTGTCTAGAATGACTGCATTATCTATTCTTCATTGAAAGTGAAACTGAAAGCAATACATTTAATAGCTTGTTCTGGTGGCTTACAGTTAAATGTACAAAGTTGTTTATTATGTGACAATGTCTTGTATCACCCTATCCCAAGCACATAGTAGAGTGCCTAGAAAACAGGTGGCAGTTAATACATTTTTACTGAATGAAATGAATAAATTACCATTTGGTTTTATACCAAGGACCAACATATGACCTTTAATCCCCAAAAGATAAAACACACTATCCCATTATATGTGAACCATATCCACAACGCCAGAATCTATGAGTCCCAGTCTGAAAGAGTGGCTAGAACAACTTCTTTTTGAGGCAATTCTGCTTACTTGGCACATTATTCCCCCCTACAGTTTTCATTCTTTTGTTTTTGTACTAAGGATATTTGTATAAAAACAAAATCTTTGTTGCTTAGTAATTCATCTGCTCCAGCTGTTTGTGTTCTGTTCCCAATCAAAAACCTCCGTTTTCAGCCTCCTCATCATTTTATAAGGGGTTAGCGAATCGGCCAGGCTTGCTCCTTTCTCCATCTCTATGGAACACTGGGCTCCAAGCCTCCTTCCATACATTGCTCCTTTTCTGGCTTCTATCTTGGAGTTAAGTATGGCTATGCCATACCTTATTCACCAGTACTCATCAAAAAGTGCCCACTGAGTAACAGAGCACCATCTGAGTTCCAAAATTCTCTCACTTCAAGTCAGGGCAAGGTTACCCCAAGCTACAGAGAATCATGGAGAGGGATAGAAGCCTAGGGAACATTACAGAAGTGTAGGCAGGTGTGTCTAGGTAGGTAGGTAGAATAACCTATTACTCCTTCAGAGTAGGAAAAGTTGCTTACCTATATTATTGTCCTCAGTTTAAAGAACTTTATGAATCAGACATACTTTTCAACATCTAATTCTCATTGTGTTCCCTTCCACTCCATAGACCTATCCATTTCTTTCTCAGATCTGTTTCATTTCTTACTATTCCTCCAAAAAGGACCATAAACAATTTCCTAGCTACTCATTATCATAAACCCTGACATGTTAAATTACCCCCTGCTCAATTTATGGACCACACTGGTCCATAAAACTCTTCCCTCCCCAGCAACCCACCCCATACAAAATTCTTATTTCCCCTTATCCCTGCTGAGAAGGATGTTCCCTAAAGGAGCACCTGAGCCACACTGCTTTCCTTCTGTACTGGAGGTGTATCCCCCATCCCAGGACACTGGGGGCTTTCCTTACCTGGAAGGCAGTTGCATTCAAATGTGAAGTCACCAGTCTGCCGGCAGGTGCCTCCATTGACACAGGGGGAGGGGGCACAGGGCACGTAGGGGCTGTCACAGTGCTGGCCTGTGAAGCCCTGGGGGCATTGGCACTGATAGGAACCCAGTAGGTTGAGGCAGGTGCCACCATGCTGACACTGTCCTGGAATGTCACATTCATTGACGTCAGTCTCACACTTCTGTCCTGTGAAGCCTGTGAGGCATTTGCACGAGAACTGGTTGGCCACAGTGGTGCAGGTACTTCCATTTGCACAGGGGTGAGACAGGCAGGCATCGGTCCATTGGCACAGCTTACCTAAGGAAAGAGAACAGACTCAGTACTGCCCACTGAAGTGGGAGCCTGTCCCATCCTCAACATCCCACACTTCCCACCCGTCCAACATCAGTTATTGCGTGGAGAATCTCCTAACCTCTTTGAACTTCACAGGAAGTCTGAATCAGAGCTTCCTCAAAATCACCTGACATGGGCACTCTGAATGGCCCTCAATCAAGACAAAGACTTAGTGGAGCACATGGAGAGTACTGCAGGCTAGTCATATGAAGCCCGTCCTCAAAGGAATCCATCAGTCCCTCCGGTGGCAAAGAAGGGTCTGCACCTACCTGCTGTCTCACACCTTGTCTTTGCATAAGCTACTCCTTTGTTTGGAATGCTGTCTTCCTTTCAGTCTACCTAGTGAGCTCCCGCTTTACAACTCCGCTCAGAAGTTACCTCACTGCCCTTCTCAGCTCCCTAAATCACTCTCTCTTACACACACATCTGCACATGTATACACACACCCCAAATTTGCTGTTTCCTTACAGGCAGAGGCTGGATCCCCATAATGGGCTCTCAAATCACATCCTTTGAGTGAATAAAACTCATTGATCTTTTCCATAATATATACTTACTAAACAGATCTGTTATATGATAGAAACAAGTCAATGCTACTTCTATTCTTCTTTTAAATACAACCTACACACATACTCTGGAAAATATTTTAATTGTGGTCTTGCTACATTATTGCTTGATGTGTTTGAAGAGGATGAAGAATCTCTAGCTACTTATATATTAAAAGACTTAGAAGTTGTAGTGAGAATAAAGGTCTAGAAAGGTAGATCTTGTGGACTCTCAAGTAGGAAAACATGAGAGGAGGGGCGCCTGGGTGGCTTAGTCGGTTAAGCATCCGACTTTCGCTTAGGTCATGATCTTGCGGTTCGTGGGTTCGAGCCCCACGTCGGGCTCTGTGCTGACTGCCAGCTCAGAGCCTGGAGCCTGTTTCAGAGTCTGTCACTCCTTCTCTCTCTGACCCTCCCCTGCTCACGCCGTCTCTCTCTCTCTCTCCTAGAAATAAATAAAACATTAAAAATTTTTTTTTAAAAAGGAAAACATGAGAGGAGGCCAGAAGACTTTGATGTGCTGGATCCTAAGGCATGATGACTCCAAGGGAGCAAAGCAAATTCTCTGAGGTAGAAAGACAGAGAAAAAAAAATATTCTCATGCTATTAGTAAGTTTGGTATTAATATAGATTTTTGTTTTCAATAGCTTAAGCTTTTTGTTTTCAACTAAACTAAAGATTATGAGAACCCCTTGAATTTGCTAATATTTCAGTTGGTTGTCTGAGTAAATATCCAAATATCTGACCTCCACTGAAAAACAAAAGAGAGGGGTGCCTGGGTGGCTCAGTCAGTTGAGCTTCCGACTTTGGCTGAGGGCATGATCTTACCGTCCGTGAGTTTGAGCCCCATGTTGGGCTCTGAGCCTACAGCGCAGAGCCTGCTTTGGATCCTCTGTCTCCCTCTCTCTGCCCCTCCCCCAGTCAAGCTCACTTGCTTGCTCGCTCGCTCTCGCAAAAATAAAGTAAAAAAAAATTTTTTTAACACTAAAAAAAAGTAAACCAATGAGAGCCATGACAGCTTTTCTAAAAGGAAGAAGGAGGAGACACATGAGCACACAGAAGTGCTCTCTGTCTGTCAAGGTGTCAAATCAGACAGGAAAGGTACAATAAAATTTTGGGCATAGCACATGTATCTCAGGGTGCTACCCAGAGAATAAAAAGGAAGAACTAAAATTTCTCTTCCTATTTTTTCTTCATTCCTCTGAGAGGAACTTACCTACAGTGAAGAAGAGATAAAAAATGGTTCCTTCTAGCAACTGTGTATATGAGAGTATTTGCCTACAACCAAAACAGAAAGGTCCCTGAACCTGGCTTCCCACATATGATACATACAGGCACTAACTTCCTACCTCTGTTTCTTCAACCATGAGTACAGATAAGCTAAGAAGGTCTGATTAGGTGGGGTACGGGGCTACCACAAAGCCAAAAGGGTAACTTAACCTGTGGTAATTCCTAAAGACAGACAAAAGTGGCAAATGTGTGAAAATGATCAGAGTCCTGCAGAACACCAAGAAGAGATCCTTTTAATGGCAAATGAAGAACTTTTAATTTGGGGGTCATTTCAGAGTTACCATTCTAGTAATTAAAAAGACATTCCTGCCATTTCCACTAGTCAGGATTAAAATGTTTTACACAAGTATGCTTTCCCTTTGCTTGTGGAGTGAAACAACTTCAAACTGACAATCAGGAAAAAAATTTTCCTTTTAACCACCGAATAAAGAATCATAGCATCAATGTCATGGTCATAATGAAGAAAATAGATCATCCTAACTATCCTCTACCCTTACCAACACCTTTTGATGAAAAATCAGTAGAAAAAGTATTCCAAACTAATCTATTCAATCTAGTTTACTGAGTATGTTTTTAATTTTTGCTTATAAGATTTACAGAATTGCTGGTGTCATGGGGGACAAACTGCTTTCCTCATCTAACTTAATTAACATTTACAGTTCATTTTGTTTTTTTAAATTATTTTTTAAAATTTTTTCTGAGAGAGAGAGAGAGAGAGACAGAGACAGCATGAGCAGGGGAGGGTCAGAGAGGAAGATACAGAATCTGAAGCAGGCTCCAGGCTCTGAGCTAGCTATTAGCACAGAGCCCAATCCAATGCGGGGCTTGAACCCACAAACCATGAGATCATGACCTGAGCCGAAGTCGGACACTTAAGCAACTGAGCCCCCCAGGCACCCCTACAGTTCATTTTGAATAAAGCTCAGACCCACCTTTGGAGAACTCATGATCTAGTCAGATGAGAGACGTGTAAAAAAATTATTACAATAAAATGTGACACATAAAATAATAGAACATAGAGACTGCCTAAAGGAATATGAAAAAATCACTAAGACAGAATCTTAAATAACATTGGGCAATCACCAACTGTAACAAAGGGCATTCCAGGCAAAGGGGTGTGCAACAGCATGGAGGCAACAGGAAGTATGACATTTTCAGGAAATGATGAGAATGTTGTTGGTGTGACTAGGGGTTAGATGCTTGTGGGAAGTGAAGCTATAAAAAGACGCAAGGCTGGGGTTCCCGGGTGGCTCAGTTGGTTAAGTATCCGACTCTTGATTTCAGCTCAGGTCATGATCTCACAGTTCGTGAGCCCTGCATTGGGCTCTGTGCTGACAGCACGGAGCCTGCTTGGGATTCTCTCTCTCCCTTTCTCTCTGCCCCTTACCTGCTCTCATGCTCTCTCTCTCTCTCTCTCTCAAAATAAATAAACTAAAAAAAAAAAGACGTAAGGCCTAGACAATGATGGGCTATGGAAGCCATATAAAAGAGTTTGCAGTTGGCGGGTGATAAAAAGTCATTAGGCATTGTAATTAGGTGAGTTTGTGAGAAGATTTGCATTCATGGTCAAAGATGTGGCATTGTGACAGGTGAACAAGACGGGGAGAAAGTAAAGGCAAGGAAACCAGTTAGGAATGACTGCAGGAGCCCAGGTGAGAGCTGACCTGTCACCAATGTGGATAGGATAGACCTCAACTACAGGGCAGAAAAAGAAATGAAGAGGGGTAGACAGGTGAGAGGTGATTCAAGGACTAGGGCAGGTGGCTGAGTCTAAGCGTGGTGAGGGAAAGGGGGAGTCTAGTTTGGAATATTTTTTTATATGTCCCTCATCTGACTATGACCCATTTATATCAACATGTTGAGTATGAGGTACCTGTCAAATGTCCAAGGATAATATACAACAGATAGTTAGAAATATGAGCCTGAATTTCGGGGGGGGGGGGTGGAGTGAAAAGGATGACTATAAGAGTCACCAGCAACTGATGAAGATAATGACAGTTGAAGCCACTGGAGATAGTGAGATTCCCTGGGGGGAGCTGTGATATGGCTCAAAAAGAGGGCTCAAAATAGAGTTCCAAGGAACACAAAAATTTGATGGCTGAGGACGAGGCAATACAGAAGCCAAAGGAACAGAGTACAGAAAACCAGAAAAGCTAGTGCCCTGAATGTGTAGGTAGAGATTTCAAGAAGCAAGTAATCAATAGCATAGACAGCTCTTCCTCTAGTGACAGCGGAGTATGGTTCTGATCCCCGATCTTGACACATATACACTTCAGGCAGTCAGATACTTCTGAGTATTTGACCCTTTCTCTTTCTCTCCTCTTAGAACTCTCAAAAGGAGGTTGAAGATAGTTGTCTGGAACACTCTAGTTCCTTACCATAATGTTAAATGGGCACCAGAGTTAGAGGATCCTTAAGAGCAATATGTCAAGATCTAAGAGATGATAAAGAAAGGTATCTTTGGAGAATAGAAAACTGTGGCCCTCGGTCATATTGTTACCTGTAAAACCAACTTGGCAGGTACACTCATAGTCATCCCGGCTACGCACGTGGCAGGTGCCTCCATTCAGGCAGGGATGAGACACAAAGCAGGGGTGAGTGGTTGAGTACTGGCAGTCATCGCCCGTGAACCCCAGGGCACATCGGCATGTGGCTTTCCCCAACATGGCCTGGGCCACACACGTCCCCCCATTCTGGCAGCGGTTCTTTTCACAGGGGTCTCGATGTTGACAATATTCTCCCAGGAAGCCCTCCAGACATCTGTGTGGAAAAGAGAAGAGTCCATGAAAACAGTTGGCTTCTTCTAAGTCCAAACACTAAAGAAGATAATGTAGCCCATTTAAGAAAATACTAGACTATGAATTGAGAGCTCTAAAAGTACAACCTATAAAACTGCCCTATTTTAGAAGTGCTTAGAGAACTTAACCACACACTCTCATGTCCTTCTGAGTCTCGGTAGGTGGCAGAATAGCAGACGGGTGGCCCAGCATGGTCTGCCATGGCCAATCAGCACAACCCTTATGAAGGCAAGATGAGCCTTTTTCACACAGGTGCAAGCTGGTACGGCATAACAGCATGCTTTTTCGTGCAGCACTGTTGATACTTATCTATTCAAACTCATTAGCTTTCTCATTTTGACTAAGCCATATGATAGGATTAAGATATTCACATGATAATGCATCATGGACTGACTTTCTTACCCTCCCCAATTTAAAGTATATAAAATACCATGTGATTTCTCTTAATTAGGCACTGAGAAATAATAAGTTCTTCTTTTCTTGTTTCCATTGAGACATCAACTGGCCTATACCTAGATTTCAGGGTAATGTTCACGAGTTACATTTCTTTGTGATGGAGAAAGAAAAAGGAGGTACAGGAATAGGGAAGAGTTCAAAGGTTTTTTTTTTTTTTTTTTTAATGTAAATCTGTTAATATATAATGGCAGGCAGCTTTTTTAACCAAATAAAAAAGAAGCACAAAATGTAATTAAAATAACATAAAAAAATATCTAAAGTACCATATAAACACCAAAGTGAAGAAGAGATGATAATTCAAGAATAACATTCTCCACATGGTGTGTTGAGGAGCGTTTTTATATGCCACCCATGGAATCATAAGATATACAACCATCCCAAATTGTGTGTAGTACTTATGACAATAGTACATTCTCTAAACAACATTTAAAAAGGCATGGAAAGTCTTCATTTTCATAATGTAGAGTTTGTTTAAATGAGACCTCTAAGAAACATTTAAAAGTAACACAAAGACTTTGATTCTAACTATAAATTTTACCATTTGGCTGTTTCCCCAGATATTTGACTAAACCCATTTCTACATTATTTTACTTTTTTGAGGATAGAAAACTAAGTCTACAAGGTTGCTCCATCATTACCTTAAAGACAACACCTTTAAACCAAACTCTAAAAAAATAATAAGCAAACAAACAAAACCAAACTCAAAACCTTCCCCCTCAAAGCCAGCTCCCATCACAGCTCGCAATGTGTATGTAGATTCTGGGTCCTGATTCTCCCTATCAGCCAGATATGAAGCACTGGGGTCGTGTTTTCCTCCTTCCTGTCCTTGCTCAATCATATCCAAGATGTCTCATTAGCCAGTGGTTGGCAAGGTGAGGTCTTCAGAGGTCCCAGTTATTAAGAAAAGGAGGAGGAGCAGATATCAAGGAACTAAGAGGGAACAGGCCCAGAGGTATGTAGTAGCTAACACAGCTGGAGGAGGAAACAGAGCTGGTGGGTAACTCCAGTGGGAGTGATGTCACTAGCGACAGCCTCCCCTCTTCCCAGATCTGTGTACAGTAAGCATGGCAGAGCCAGGAGCAGCTAGGGTTTTGAGCATCTTCATGAGCAGGTGAAGCTAGAGATGGAGAGGCAGTGAGGGGAGGGCACAGCACAAAAACGAAAAACTGGCTGAAGTTTCTGTAAGGAGTCTGCACGTCATGTGAAGGCCTGTTTAGAGTAAATCCTGGTGCAGTGACCTTGGACATGTTGCTAAACTTCACTATTAGTTCGCTCACACTGTAAATTGTTAATAAGGCTACCTACTTTGTGGGATTGTTGTAAGAAACCTACAAAATCAAGTATGTGAAAGCCTTATGTTATGGTTAGGGTTATGTTAAAAAGTTTTGCAAATGAATAACATTTTTTTCTCTTTGTACTTATTGAGGAAACTAGGGTGCTTTATTCAAATCACAGCTTGATTTGGTGATGGAATAGGTTATTTTCTGATTTTTTTAAAGTAGAAGAACAAAAACTGCAAATGTAGCATAGCTAAAATTAAGCCTGAGCTATATTATTAAAAGCATTTGTGACCTATTTAAGAAGTCTGTTATGGATGATATTCAAAACTACAACACAACTCTCATTCATAATGGTAGTCGTATGGGCGTTTAGGCTGGCTGACAACTCTTGATTCACCCATATGGGAATTATTTACCTTGTAAATAATGGAAAACTTTTAAACTTGGGTGGGCCTTGCCCAGCTTTGCTCCTGGACTTCTATACCACCACCCCCTCCCCAACACTATCATGTGGCATCTGCTCAGAGAATGCAAATTCATTTAAATAGCAGTATTGCAAACATATAAAAAAGCATAAGGCTCCCAGGAAAACAAAAATGAAACAATATGAAAATTTCTGGAGCCAATCAAGAGTATTGCTTTTTTAAAAAACATTTTATTTATTTCTGAGAGAGACAGTATGAAAAGGGGAGGGTCAGAGAGAGAGAGAGAGACAGAATCTGAAACGGGCTCCAGGCTCTGCGCTAGCTGTCAGCACAGAGCCCAACGCGGGGCTCGAACCCACAAACCATGAGATCATGACCTGAGCCAAAGTTGGATGCTTAACCGACTGAGCCACCCAGGCTCCCTCCCTCAACCAAGAGTATTCCTGAGTCTAGGGTTTCATCTGCATTGTTTACTTCCCACCAAGTACAGAAAAATAAGTTTCAACTAAGATACGTTTAAGAAACCCATAAAAGCAGAGGCTGGCAAATACAGCTTGCAGACCCACTATGGTCCACTGCCTGTTTTTGTATGGCCTATGAGCTGAGAATAGTTTTTACATTTTTAAATGGCTAGAAAAATGTCAAAAAAAGATATTTCGTGACATTTGAAAATTATGAAAATTCAGATTTCAGTGTCCATAAACCAAGTCTTATTAGAACACAGTCACACTCATTCGTTTATTCTATGGCTACTTCTGCATTACAATAACTGGGCTAAGTAGTTGTGATGAGACCTCTTAGCTCGCAAAAATACTTACTATCTGGTGCTTTACAGAAAGTCTGCCAACTCCTGAGTAAGGAAATGTATGAAACCCAATTCTATACATAGCATCCAACATGCTTATTAATAATGATGTTGATGATGATGAGGAAGAATGTTCTCACATCAGTTTCTGCAAAGAATACTGCACTCATTCATTCATCTAACAAACATTTAGTAAGTGACTATTATATGCCAGACATTGTTCTAACACTAGGAAAGTCCTTGAACTTGTGGAGTTTAAATTCTAGTAAGGGAAGACAAAGACAAGACTAGTAAGTAAAACATATAATTTGTTCATTAAAGTTAAGTGCTATAAAAATTAATTAAAAAAGGAAAGGGGGAGGGGCGCCTGGGTGGCTTACTCATTTGAGCGTCCAACTTCAGCTCAGGTCATGATCTCACGGTTCGTGGGTTCAAGCCCCGCATCGGGCTCTATGCTGACTGCCAGCTCAGAGCCTGGAGCCTGTTTCGGATTCTGTGTCTCCCTCTCTCTCTGACCCTCCCTTGCTCACGCTGTCTCTCTCTCTCTCAGAAATTAATAAAAACATTTAAAAAAAAAAAAAAGGAAAGGGGGATGGGAAGGGATGGAATTGGGAATGGCAGGGTTGATAAAATGAAGCATTTTGGTTTTAAATGGGAAAATCTGATAAGGCCTCACTTAGAGGGTACATTGGAGTAAAGACCTTGATGCAGTGAGGGACTAGCCATGTAGGTATCTTAGGGAAGTGTGTTTAAGGCAGAGGGAACAGCAAATGCAATGGACCTAAAAATAGGAAACAGTCATGGCATGTTTGAGGAACAGCAAGCAGACCTCTGTGGCTCTACCAAAGGGATTAAGAAAAAGAGTAGCAGAAAATAGATGAGAGCTATAACTTGGGGGGTAGAGGGGCTGCAGACCACCATGAAGAAGGCCTGAGGTTTGTATCCTAGGTGAGATAATATGACGTACAACTGACTTACCCTCCTAAAGTCCATATATAGAACTACATCTTATTTTTATGTGAAACCAGACATATTGTTAAAGATATAATTTCTTATTTAAATTGTTCTAGAGAGCTAGATATCAATCAGCCTATTTCTTTACTTTAAAACAACAAATCTCTTTTAACCTACATTTTTCACTAAGCTCCATTTCCCTTTCCAAATTCTTCCATCACGACCAAACTGCTTTAACTGTGCCTAATTTCACAAATATTTTCCCTTTCTCTTCCATCTGCTGCTTACCTGTCCCTTTGTAACAAAATTTGCATTCTAATAATTGCCCAGAAACTATGTTCTGAGAGCAATGACTTTATTTCCCCTTATCAAGTTTAGTCTGAAATTTCATTAGAGAGAAATTCTCTTTCCTGTAGGTAATGTCTCTGACCACGCCTTCTACCATTTTAATCCTTTTACATTTCGTTTCTAGGCCTCCCTCTATCTCAGAGCTTGGTGAATTCTTAGTCTAGATTCCTGACCCCTCTTCTCCTTCCTCCCCATCAATTATAGACAACTTAAAGTTTGAGCTGCACTGCTCTTTTCTCTCATACGCATCTGTTACTGCTGTCACTGTTCATCTGATTTTAAACAACTACCTTCATGTGGCCACATAAACAGTGCCACTGGCGTATGACAATTCACTGAAAGTCATCTACTTGCCCTAATCTACTCTGCAGTACTTGAAGATTTGAAAAGTGAGATCATGTTTCCATGGAGCTTTAATTCTTCAATTTTTCTAAGGTTTCCACTCACAATCTCAAAAATCACTTTTTTTTAAAGTTTATTTATTTTTGAGAGAGACAGAGTGTGAGCAGAGGAGGGTCAGATAGAGAGGGAGACACAGAATCTGAATCAGGCTCCAAGCTCTGAGCTGTCAGCACAGAACCCGACACCGGCCTTGAAACCACAAACTGTGAGATCATGACTTGAGCCAAAGTTGGCCACTTAGCCGACTGAGCCACCCAAGGGTCCCTCAAAAATCACTTTTAACTAATGCTTT